GGTCGCCGGGTGGCGCACACGTGGCGATTTTTATCGACAGTGCTGTCGATAAAAATCGCCGGTAGGCCTACTGTCGATAAAAATTGCCACGTGTGCGCCGGGCTTTAACATGTTTGATATTCCAGCGACGAGTTTCTGGCGTCAAAATCGGTGACGCCGGGCAGCGCACACGTGGCGATTTCTCGGCGATTTTGTTGCTGGCAACAGAATCGCCGGGACTGTCGATAAAAATCGCCACGTGTGCGCCGGGCTTGCAACGATCTTTGCAACGAGGTCAACGTTTTACGTCCGGCGTGTATCGTGGCAACGTCGATTGCCAAGCTGTTTTGATTGGCCAGTATTTTAGCGCATCGAGTAAGCAGCGTGATACCTTAATTACGTGACACTGTAAATATTACGACAGTGTTGCTAATATTAAGAATCGACGTAACTTATTGTTCTTATACATTTATTATTATTGGTAAATTTTTAGCTTATAGCTATAATTGCTTAGATTCTTGGGAAATATATATTAAAATATATAATATAATTTATAACTTTTAATACTTTAATTATAGCTTAAAATAGAGAGCACAGACTCTCGGGAAGTTTTCTGCGATGAAACGATATCTCAGTATGTCGTTTTATTTATGCTAAGACATCTCAATTCATAATAATGAGAATAATAATAATCGAGAATAAGTATTAACAGTTATGAGTTATATTATATATTTTAACATATATTTCCCAAGAATCTAACTGTCTTTAGAAAAATCTCCGACCCGAGACAATAGGATGACTTTTAGCCATTATTAGGCACGAGCGCATGGAGATCTGGCATTATAAGCTATATGTTACGTTACAATTAATATACATTTTACGCTGGCGAACGATGAATAAAACGTTTTTAGCTGGCTATATACGCGTGCGTGTGCGTGTGTGTGTGTGTGTGTGTGTGTGTGTGTGTGTGTGTGTGCGTGCGTGCTTGAGTGCGTGCGTGTGCGTGTGTGTGCGTGTGTGTATGGGCACTAGTTCTACATATCAACTCGTGTGAATTCCTTCCTGGTAGTCTTCTCATTACAATATATTACAATATATAATACAACGTATACGTGGTTTCTCTCAGCGATGGTAAATGATCTTTGCTACGCTCGAGGTAAATATTTAGTTTCAGTTGTAGCTAGAAACACATAGCATGATAGAAGTCATCATTATCATGCCACTGATATATTGCTCACGCATGCGCACATGGCTTATAGCGCCGCGTACACACTGCAGGCGTAGAGTCCGTATCAAACTAGAAGATCCGAATTTTCGTCTCAAAATTTGAAAGTTTAAAAGATTATCCGTATTTTAGCAGTACATGATTTTTACGCGTGCGCGTGTACGGACAGACAGACGAATCGGCATTTCATTCTGCTGATTTTTTTCAGTGAACTTACATGCAGGGAATAGCGCATCGCTACGCCGTGGTTGCGTATCTACGCATCTTTTCATCGATCGGTCACAGGCGGCGAGTTACTAATTTTTTTTTCGGGGGGAGGGGCAAGCTTCCCCGACTATGTCCTCATGCGCCGCTTTGGCATTGACGGAACTGTTGTTGAAGTTGACGGAACCGCCGATAAATCGGGATTGTGGATTGCGTGAAACAAACAACTCTTCCCCACCCCACCTCCTCTCTCTCTCTCTNCATAAATTTGTGTAGACGTAGCATTTCTATACAGATATCACGCTACATATAGATTGCTCACGCATGCGCACATGGCTTATAGCACCGCGTACACAATGCAGGCGTAGAGTCCGTATCAAACTAGAAGATCCGAATTTTTGTCTCAAAATTTGAAGGTTTAAAATGTCGTCCGTGTTTTCGCAGTACATAATTTTTACACGTGTGTGTACGGACAGACAGACAAATCGGCATTTCATTCTGCTGATTGTTTTCAGTGAACTTACATGCAGGGAATAGCGCCTCGCTACGCCGTGGTTGTGTATCTGAGCATCTATTTTCATCGATCGGTCACAGGCGGGGAGTTACAATTTTTTTCGGGGGGGGGTAAGCCTCCCCGACTGTGTCCTCATGCGCCCCTCTGGTGCCCACCTGCGACAAATCGGATTGTGGGTTGCGTGAAACAAATGAACACTTCCCACCCCACCTCCTCTCTCTCTCTCTCTTCTCTCTCTCTCTCTCTCTCTCTCTCTCTCTCTCTCTCTTGACTACCTGCTCGCACCTGCGTGGAAGCAGAAGCGGATCGGACGTGCTGCCGGTTACACGCTTCTGATGAGATAATGGCGAGCTGTTACGAATGTGCATTTCTCCTCTGTGTGGGTGAGTATAAGGCAGATGAAATAGAGACGTTTTCCTAAATGTAAATTATCGGGCTTCGTTTGTCGAGCCGGGAAAACGAGTGAACGTGTTGGTTAAGCAATAATAACTAGCGTATGATTCATTCACGATGTCGCATGTCACAACCTTAACTTAGTTTTCGCGCATTTACCTGTGTCACATTTATAGATGCTACTAAACGTGCTTACCTGTACGCATTGAAAAATCATGGGAAATCAATGCTGCGATTCGTAATATAGTGACAGCATCAAATCGCATCATCATCATCTTCTTCTTCTTCTTCTAATGCTTATACAGGTCTGCCGCTGTTATCGGCATCACAGAGCCACATGCAATTGAAGAGAAACACGGAATATAACGATAAAGACGTTCCCGAACGCCGTATAACTTCGCTCCAAGTTCGCTCGGCTCTTGCGTGCGGCTTCTACTGCCTGGATGCGGAATACTGCAAGTCCTACGGATACGTGTCGGCGGCAGGCAACTGTGTGCTTATGCACGGCACAGAGAGGCAAGACAACACAGCGACAACCTTCCTCGCGGTGCCTGGTCTGGAATACTATTCTTCTAAAGAGGAGAGCCCCGCAAGTATGTAACTATATTTAGTTATATAATTTCATAGTGTTAGCTATCCATTATATCAAGAGCTAATAATACCTATTATAGCATTATATCAGGAGTGTACAATAATAGAGTAACGAGAGAGAGAGAGAGAGAGAGAGAGAGAGAGAAATGCTATTATTATACACTCCTGATTATATTATAACGGATATATAACTAGCCCTGGAGACATTGAGGCTTTCAACCACGGGGTCAAGTCCTGTGTGCTGCAGTGGTTAAGCCGAGTGTAGTGTAGTGACCCGGGAAGAAGAAGGAGAATAGTTAGCTATCCATGATATATTATACGATATTACAGACAAGCACATGGACGCCACACCAATGGAGAAGATAACATTAACATTAGTTGTGTTTTTTTTTATCTGACTCCAGAGTGCGTGTACCCCGGCAAACCGACTGACCGCGTGATGTTAGGAACAGCCGCAAGCATAATTCCTGCAGCCAACGTAACTTGGTCATCCCGNACTAAAAACATTAATGCCTCGCTATCGCTCGGGCACTATTCCTTCCCTCAGCAACACTATGAGAGCATAGTGCCCCCAACAGCAGGCATTAATATATAAATAATACCTATTATAGCATTATATCAGGAGTGTACAATAATAGAGTATGACTAGTAACGAGAGAGAGAGAAATGCTATTATTATACACTCCCGATTGTATTATACATAAATATACCTATTAATAGTATTATTAACTCTTGATTATATATATATACTAGCAGGACACCCGGCGTTGCACGGGAAATGAAGTGCGCAGTTGGTGACCACTTGGTTGAAAGAAAAATACCCTAAAATATCAATCTATATATCTATCTATGTATCTATGTATGTATCTATGTATCTATCTATCTATTATGTATCTATCTATCTATGTATCTATCTGTCTATGTATCTATGTAGCTATCCATCTATCTATCTATTTATCTATCTATCTATTTATCTATCTATCTATCTAGCTATCTATCTATCTATCTATCTATCGATCGATCTATCTATCTATCTATCTATCTATCTATCTATCTATCTATCTATCTAATCTATCTATCTATCTATCTATCTATCTATCTATCTATCTATCTATCTATCTATATATATATATCCATCCATCTATCTATCTATCTATCTATCTATCTATCTATCTATCTATCTATCTAGTTATGTATCTAATTATGTATGTATGTATGTATGTATGTATCTATCTATCTATCTATCTATCTATCTGTCTATCTATCTATCTATCTATCTATCTATATATATATATATATATATTTATTTATTTATTTATTCATTTATCGACTGTATCTTTAGTTACAGAAAAGTAAGTCCGTGCCAGCTGAATCCTGTTTTGACTTGAATCCTGTTGCGGCAGGGGACGTTTATTTGTTGCTGCAGGGGCGCGCTGCAGCAGGGGCCAGTATTTCCTGCTGCTGCTGCTGCTTTGCTGCTGCAGGGGCCCGTTGTTTATGTAGTGGTGTTGCGTGGGCCGGTTCATTCACCGCTGCTGCAGGGGTCGAGGTATGCTGCAGGGGCAGGATTTTTGCATGTTTTTTTCCTTTTGCGACGTCAGATGACTTTGGAGGTCAACTCCAATGTGCCCATGTGGTAATGTGGCCAAAGTTACATCTAATGGCTACCCTTGGACGTATCTAGAATGGCCCATATTGATTTGAATCGAGAACAGACAAACAGAGACACTTCCACAAATATGTATTAGATATATATATATATATATATATATATATTAGGGAAAAGCACATCGTACCACACCAATGGAGTAGATATGCAATTATGTCAAGTATGTTATATAATTTCATAGTTAGCTATCGGGGGCCACAGAAGGAGCGTTCACGTCGCGGCCCCTGTCAGGTTTCACACCTGCGAATCCTTCTACCACACTACACTACACCTCATTATGTCTACCCATGACCAACAAGATGGCAAGTCTCAGTGTCGATAGCACGGGCACTTATCAGGGCCGGCACTGAGTATCATCTCATCCAACATTGAAGGTCTCTCAAGCGCCAAACAAGATCTTCTGGCTGACCTGTGTGTGGGAAACAAATGTGACATTCTTTGACTTCAGGAGACACACTGCGGACCTTCACGTAATCGAACATTGAAGCTCTTACCATCGAGCTCATGGGGATTTCTGTCAGCTCTGTCTATAAACCGCCACCTGAGATATTTGACCTTCCTCGCGAGGTTACTGATGGCCGTATCAATGTGGGTATAGGAGATTTCAATAGCCATAATGTTACCTGGGAATATGCAGAAACAGACGAAGATGGTGCACTTGTGGAAAGCTGGTCAGATGTGAATCAGCTGTCGCTTATACATGACGCAAAGCTCCCCTGCTCCTTCAACAGTTCCAGATGGAGGCGTGGATACAACCATGACCTGGTACCGATCGAAGTGTAACTACGGCGTTAACTTTAAGCACAATGGGCCGGTGTTGGGAATGTGGTATTGGGTTCAGGACAACCTTCTCACATTGGCCAGCAATGCTGGTAGAAACAAATCAGCGGGGCCGAGATGCTTGATCTGCTCACACAAAATATTGTCAAGTCCGGCAGCTTTATTATTTTTCATCAATTTGATACTATTAGTCAGTTCGCTCATATTAAAAGGTATTGTGAAGTCTTGGGTCTATTGTGTAGTACATTGAGCCTTTGGTAGTTTGGCCCTACTGGGATGCTGATTATGGTGTCCCTGGCTGTTCACAAGGAGTTGATGAGCAACCTGGTCAGCAGTCACTTCTGGTATTGGTTGTACTTTAGAGAGGCCGTTTCCTAGCATCCGAATTGTCTTCCACGCTTTTCTACTACTATGGGTCATGTTTGTGAACTGGATGAGTTCCTGCCATTTCCTCCGTCTGCCTTCTGCTATGGCTTCAGTTAGTCTCTCGCCAGAGTCAAGCGTGTGGTCACCGGATGGATTATTCTGAAAACAGTTTACATAGTCCTCAAAAAGTGCTTCGGAGTCACCAGTCAGACCTGGAATGTAACTTGTGCGGCATCCTCGAGGTATGTTGTTCCTGGATCATTTCTTGATCATCTTTACAAAAGTGTCATAGTTAGTAGGTGGAGCAAGCAGGTGCCGGACTGCATCATCAAGTTCTTTAGCAAATTTGTCCCAATTAGCCTCCTTCAGGTTGAAACGTCGGCGGAAAAGAATCACATCCTTTACTTGCTGGTATAGTTTTGTGGTTAGAATTTGATGGTTGACTGTGTTGTAGGCTGCGGAGAGGTCAACAAAAGCTGCTCCAGTAATTAACCCTTTTTCATACCCGTCTTCGATGAACTGGGTAAGGTTAAGGAGTTGGATTGTATAGGATTTTCCTGGTCTGAAACCTGCCTGCTCTGGGATGATGAGTTTATCCATGTAAGGGGTCAAACGGTTGCAGATGAGTCTTTCGAAGAGCTTGTATGTATGGCAGAGCAATGAGATGGGCCTATAGTTATCTGGACTAGCTGACTCTTTACCAGGCTTTAGTATTGCAATGACTCTGGCTTTCCTCCACAGCTTTGGGATGTTGTTAGTGCAGAAGCAGCTGTTAAACATATCAAGCAGCCATTGAAGATCCTTCCTCCTCTCAGGTCACTACACTACACTCGGCCTAGCCACTGCAGCACACAAGACTTGGCACGGTGGTTGAAAGCCTTAAGGTCTCCAGGGCTACATGGCTCGGGTAATATGGGGCATTTCAGGAGATGTCCCATAGTCTGGTCTTCCCCGCAGTCGAATTCGGTTGGGCCATCTTCAGTGTATCCCCATTTCTGCATGAGTGCCCTGCATCGACCAAACCCTGTCCTGATGCGATTTAGGCATAACCACGTCGGCTATACCTCGTTGGCTCCGGGTGGGAAGGATTCCTGGGGTCTGAGTGAAAGTTTATGTTGGCTTGCCTGAAGATGCTTTGACCATTGGGCGATCCTGTAGTTTTGGAAGTTAATTGCTATCCAGGGGTTGAACCGCGTGGATGAAACTGTGCCTAGACTTTAGTCTCTTCTGTACTGTTTCATGATGGAAGAGGGGGTGGCGAGGGTCATTTTCTTGGTTAAGTTTTCCTACTTGGGATGAAGCCATTTGTCTAACGTGTGGAGGAGCAATACCACAGAGCAAGTAGAGGTCATCTACGTTGGTTGGTCTCAAGCTTCCAGAAATGGCTCTGCAGGCAATGTTCAGAACTGGGTCATTTTTGCAGCATGGGGCGACCTACTCCAGAGAAGGCACGCTTACTTAGCCGCAGAGTAGCACAGGGCGATAGCAGTGGTTCTGATTGTCCCGGCGTCTGTTCCCCATTTAGTAGTGACCAACTTCTTTAGAATACTGTTTTTGGCACCCACTTTGGCCTTTGTCTTGATGATGTAATTCTTGTAAGTTAGAGAGCGGTTTAAAGTAACACCTAGGTAGACTGGGCTATAGGTATATGTTTCAGCCATTTCTCATACCATTTGACTTTCAGTTGGCGGTTCGCCTCCTTGTTCTTTAGATGGAAGGCATTTATTTGAGTTTTCCCAGGATTGGCTCGTAGATGGTTTGCTGTATAGTAGGTGGTTAGGCCTGCGAAAGCATCGGTGATGGACCGTTCGGCTTTATCAGAGGACTGTTTTTGTGAAGCAATGCAGAGGTCATTTGCATAAAAGAAACTCCTGGTGTTTGTATGTACTGGCTGGTCATTTGTGTATAGATTAAAGAGCAGAAGTGCCAGGACGCTTCCTTGTGGAAGGCAATTTTTTTGACTACGCCATCTGCTGCGGTTACCATTGAGATCCACAAAAAACCACCTGTTTGCCAATATGTTCCTGATTAGTTCTGCTAGCCAGACACCACCATTTTAGATATTTTAGTCGGGGCAGGTGGTATGAGTATTGATTCCCAACTCTCTCAATTTTGGCTCCACGTTAATAAATAACGGTTATTTATACCCAAGCCATGTTACACACACGCGCGCGCACGCACGCACGCAAGCACACCCACACACGCGCGCGCACACACACACACACGCGCGCACACACACACACACACACACGCGCGCGCGCGCACACGCGCACACGCACACGCACAGGCACAGGCACAGGCACACGCATACGCACACGCACACGCACGCGCGCACACACACACACACACACACACACACACACACACACACACACAGATTACCATAATTTACTCAAAATAAAACGTACCTGGAGCCAATTATCGTTGTCGGAAAAATGGCAAAATGAAGACCAATGGTCCAGCTGAATATAAGTATAGTGGTGGGTAGGGTGGAGTGTTGACCAAGTTACGTTGGCTGCAGGAATTATGCTTGCGGCTGTTCCTAACATCACGCGGTCAGTCGGTTTGCCGGGGTACACGCACTCTGGAGTTAGATAAAAAACAACAACTGATGTTAATGTTATCTTCTCCATTGGTGTGGCGTCCATGTGCTTGTCTCTAATCTCGTATAATATATCATGGATAGCTAACTATTCAGCCGTCGTGTAGAGCGGCAGAGCGGATTTCACACGCATGAGCTCGTGACGAGCGACCGGCAAAACACGCTCTCCCACTAATATCAGGAGTTAATAAAGACAAATTTGTCATTATTAACCCCCGATAATATTTACCATTTTATAGTTCGAATTGAGCCTGGAGTTAGGAATCTGTCAAATCACGACTCAGGGACGCGGGAATCTTGACCATTGGGTGACTTCGTTTATTCTGCAATACAGTGACGATGGATTGTCGTGGACTGATTACGATGAAAATGGATCCGTGAAGGTGATGCGAACACTCATTAATTGATCATACTAATAATGATGACTACAACAACAACCAAAACAACAACAACAATAGTAAATGATAATAATAATATTACTAACAACCATACTTACTTACAATAATAATAATGATAATAATAACCCAAAAGCCACCGGCTAATGCCGTGATCCTCTTTGGAAATATAATAATAATAATAACAACAACAACATCAACAAAATCATCGTCATTATTGTCATTATTACACGAAGCAAGTATCATATGAACCCTTGATAGAATCATTTAAGGAATAATAATAAATGATATTACTATGTGCTGGTAACCGATTAGTTCCCGAAATTTAAACGTAGACGTAAAAGGTGATCTTTGCAACGAGGTCAACGTTTTACGTCCGGCGTGTATCGTGGCAACGTTCGATTTCCAAGCGGGTTTGATTGGCCAGTACTCTAGCGCGTCGAGTAAGTGGCGTGATACCTTAATTACGTGACACTGTATGCATTGGGAATTATTACCCAGTGTTAGTGAGAAGTGTTGCTAATATTTAAGAATCGACGCAACTTATTGTTCTTATACAGGTGTTTGCTGGCAACGTTGACCGAAACACACTTGTAACTCACCAGCTGAGAGCCCCGCTTGTCAAGCGCTACCTACGATATGTTCCTCTCACGTGGAACCAAGCAGCTTGTTTCAGGATGGATTTGCATGCATGCTGGGTTTGGTAATTTCAACAACATTCGTTACTGAGCGTAATGAGGCGAATATGGAAAGCGGTTTGTTCCAATAATCGAAAAACCTGGTTTTACGACCATAAAACCTAGTTTATCGACGTAAAACCCAGTTTATCGAAGTAAACCCGGGTTTTAGGACGTAAAACCTAGTTTTACGACCACAAAACCTAGTTTTACGACCGTAAAACCCAGTTTATCGACGTAAAACCGGGTTTTAGGACGTAAAACCGAGTTTATCGGCCGATATTGATAGTTTAATTTGATAAACCTGGTTTTAGGACGTAAAACCTAGTTTTACGACCGTAAAACCCAGTTTAATCGGACGTAAGAACCGGGTTTAGGACGTAAAACTAGTTTGTACGTCGGTAAAATCCAGTTTTTGACGTTAAAACCGGGTTTAGAAAGTAAAACCAAGTTTATCGCCGATTCATTGATAGTTTAATTTGGATAAACCTGGTTTAGGACTAAACCGTAGGTTTTATACGACCGAAAACCCCTAGTTTTACGAGCCGTAAAAACTTAGTTTAGGTGACGTCAACCGGGTTTTAGGGACCGTAAAAACGCTAGTTTTACGAACGCGTAAAACCGCGTTTATCGCGTAAAAACCGGGATTTTATGACTAAAGCACCTAGTTTTACGACGTAAAACCCAGTTTATCGATGGTAATTCGGTAATTCGTAATACGGTTATTCGGTAAGGGGGCAATACATAGCGTGTTAAAACATAAAAACAGAAAGCGCCGCAACAGAAAAAAACAGTGCGCCGCCATCTTTTCGAAAAGTGTTGTCTACTAGGAACAAGGTAATACTCTTGATATAATATCGAGAATCCCTAATATTGAATAAAATACTTTGACAAGTTCATTATTTACGCCGGTATTATTCATCAGGTATCTATGATTATTATACAACTACAAAACTAACGGAAAATTACAAACACAGCCATCAATGTGTCGAGTAATTCCGGTCTCTACAAACTAGGGTAAGCTAGTCCGCAGCAAATCAGAAACTTGCAATATCGAATTCATAAAACCCGGTTATACGAATCTAAAATAGATTTTTAAAACGTAAACCTAGTTTACGAGACCGTAAACCACCATGACATAATCCTAAACCAAACCACCATGTTAAATAACCAAACCATGCATGTTCTGCGTAAAAAAGTGAAAAGAAGGCGTCGCTATAAATTTCTAATGACCATTGGAGAAGTAAAAAGCGAAACTCATTGTGCCACCACTCAGCGCGAGCATCACGCGATGCGTACAAACTCGCTAACAATGCTACGAC